CTCTACTCTTTCCCTTTATCTTCATTTTCATTTCGCTCGTACTCCATTAATTGTGCTATTCTTCAATTCTTCGCATTCCGCCCACTCCCCCCGGGCCACCCCATCCCACCCCAACAATCTCCACCCCTCCCCGCTCGCATTCCGCATTTTTCCCAAATTATTCCCAACCCCTCCTCCAGATTCTTCCGTGCGCCCCCCGCTCCTCCGCACTCCTCCTGGTTCCTGTTCTCCACTTCTTGCCGCTCCTCCCCCTGAGACCCTACTCTTGTCCACTCCATCCCAATCCGCTCCACGTCCCCGCGCTCCTCTCGACACGGTTGCAATTCTCACTAACCTTCCGCCCCACTCTCCCAACATCCCGCTTCTTTTCAGGGTTCCACGAAATTTGTTTCTGCCACCAGTTCGCAGCTGTGCGCCCCGCCGTGTGGGGTATCCACGATATGTTCTTTCAAGGGGGTGGTACGTTACGCTGTTTATGGCGCGACCCATGGCGAAACTTATGGTTAACATGTGTTGGAGTGGCTGGCGCAAGTCATGGCGCAAGCTGAATCGCCACTCGCAGCGCAAATCATCGTCCTCCGTCCTTCTTGCCCTTCCCCTCCCTTCCTCAGATCCCTTCGTCCTCATTCTCCCCCGTTCACCAACCACACGTGGCAGGGAACGAATCTACCCCCAACAAGGGGATACGATCGAAGACGAAGAGGGCGGGTATCCAGGGTTTGGGATATGCATATTGAATGACACGCGAGCAGATAAGAGCGAACAGTCTTAAGATGATTGTTGTTGTTGCTTCTCATTTCTAGAGAATAAGTATTGTTGATCTCCGGAAACGGTTCCAAGCGCTCTCGCCTCGACGCCGGCTACATTTTCTCTGACAACGAAGCTCCCACTGGAGCGTTGGCTTGACCCGAAAAATGCGCCCTTGGAGACCCAGCTACGACAACAACGGCTCCCGTTTGATACCTCACAATATATCTCGAGACACCCTGGCCAGAGAGGCCCCCGAACTCAGGAGCGGCGCTCTCGCTCGAGACTTCCTTGCAATTCAATCAAGTTGGCGGGGGCCCAGCCACGACGACAAGGGCTACTGCTCGATACTTCCTCGCGATTTACTCCGAGAGCCCCTGGCCAGGAAGGCCCCCGAACTCAGGAACGGCGCTCTCGCTCGAGTGTTTCTCCTGATTCAGTCAAATTGGTGGAGGCCCAAATGCGACGACAAGGGCTCTCGTTCGATACTCCCTCAAGATGTATTCGTAGAGGCCGTTGCCAGAGAGGCCCCCGAAATCAAGAGTGGCGCTTTCGCTCGAGACGCCCTCGTCATTCAGTAAATTTGGTGTGGGCCAAGCCGCGACGTTAAGGGCTCCCGTTCGTTACTTCCTCAAACTGTACTTCGAGAGCCCGTGGCCCGAGACTGCAATTCAGTAGCGGCGCCGGAGGCCCACCTGCGACGACAGGGACTCCCGCTCGAAACCCCCTTTAGTACTCTAGTACTCCCACACGACCTGGCCAGAGAGGCCCCCAAACCACAAAGGCCCCAGCACGCTGCTCATTGAGGCCTTCGGACACAGACCACAAAAGCTCCAAGCGCGTCCACAGGGGCCCCAGCACGCTGCCCACTGATGCCTTCGGGCACAGCCCACAGAGGTCCCGGCGCGCTGTCCACTGAGGCCCCCAACACACACCTCACAGAGGCCCATAGTAAGCCCACAGGGACCGTAGCATGCCCCCAAGCGCGCCCACAGAGGCCCCAGCACGCTGCCCACTGACGCCTTCGGGCACAGCCCACAGAGGCCCCAAGCGCTGTCCACTGAGGCCCCCAACACACACCTCACAGAGGCCCAGAGTAAGCCCACAGGGACCGTAGCATGCCCCCAAGCGCGCCCACAGAGGGCCCAGCGCGCTGCCCCCGGCACAGCCCACAGAGGCCCCAGCCCTCAGAGGCTTTAAGCGCGCTAACAGAGTCCCCAGCCCACAGAGGCCCCAAGCGCGCCCAGAGAGGCTCCCGCGCGCTGTCCACTGAGGCTCTCGACACAGCCCACGAATTCCAACGCCCCCGCCCCAAGCGTGCCCACGGAGGCCCCAGCGCGCTGCCCACTGAGGCACCCCGTTCCGCAGAGGCCCCCGCGCGCTGCCCACAGAGGCCCCGGCGCACAGAGGCCCCAAGCGCGCCGAGGCCCCCGCGCGCTGCCCACTGAGGCCCTCCGGCACAGCCCACAGAGGCCCCAAGCGCGCCCACAGAGGCCCCAGCCCACATAGGCCCCAAACGCGCCCGCAGAGGCCCCAGCGCGCTGCCCACTGATGCCCCGGCCCACAGAGGCCCCAAGCCCCTGAGCGTGCCCACGAAAGCTCCAGCGAGCTGCCCGCTGAGGTCCCCCGAAAACGCCCACAGAGGCCCCACGCGCGCCCACCAAGGCCCCAGCCCACAGAGTCGTCAAGCGAGCCCACGGAGGCCCCCGCTTGCTGCCCACCGAGTCCTCCCACACAGCCCACACAGAGGGCGTCCACACTGGCCTAAGCCCGCAGAGGCCCCAAGCGCGCCCACAGAGGCCCCAGCGCGCTGCCCACAGGCTCCCGTCGCAGACCACAGAGGCCCCAGCCCACAGAGGCCCCCGACGCCGCCCACAAAGGCCCCAAACGCGCCCACAGAGGCGCTAGCCCGCAGAGACCCCAACCGCGCCCATAGAGGCTCCAGCGCGCTGCCCACTGAAGCTCCCGACGCAGCCCACAGAGGCCCCAGCCCACAGAACCCCAAGCGCGCCCACAGATGCCCCCGCGCGCTGCCCACTGAGGCCCTCCGGCACAGCCCACAGAGGCCCCAAGCGCGCCCACTGAGGCCCCAGCCCACAGAGGCCCCAAGCGCACCCACAGAGGCCCCCGCGCGCTGCCCACGGAAGCCCCCGACGCAGCCCACAGAGGCCCCAAACGCGCCCACAGAGGTCTCAGCCCGCAGAGGCCCCAAGCGCGCCAACAGAGGCCCCGGCGCGCTGTCCACTGAGGCCCCCGACGCAGCCCACAGAGAGGCCCCAGCCCACAGAGGCCCCAAACGCGCCCGCAGAGGCCCCGGCGCGCTGCCCACTGAGGCCCCAAGCGCGCCCACAGAGGCCGCTGCCCATTGAGGCCCTCTGACGCAACCCACAGAGGCCCCAAGCGCGCCCCAGAGGCCCCAGCTCGCAGAGGCCCCAAGCGCAGCTAAAGAGGCCCCGACGCGCTGCCCACTGAGGCCCCCGTCGCAGCCCACAGAGAGTCCAGCCCACAGAGGCCCCAAGCGCGTCCGCAGAGGCCCCAGCGCGCTGCCCACTGATGCCCCCCAACGCAGCCCACAGGGGCCCCAAGCGCGCCCAGAGAGGCCCCAGCCCGCAGAGGCCCCAGGAACGGCCCTATCGCATGAGACTTCTTCGCAATTCAATCGAGTTCGCGGATGCTCAGCCGCGACGACAAGGCTCCCGCTCGATATTTCCTCGCGATTTACTCCGGGAGGCTCTGGCCAGAGAGGTTCCCGACGTGAAGGACAGCGCTCTCGCTGGAGTCTTCGTGGCACATCAGTCAAATTAGTGGGGGCGCAGCCGCGATGACAAGGGCTCCCGCTCGATGCTTCCTCGCGATTTGCTCCGAGAGGCTCTTTCTCGTGGTCCATCCTTCTCTTCCCCCATCCGTCCCCCCTTTCCCTGTTTTAGGGGCTGCGCTAAATGTGCGTGGCAGGTAAGGAAGATATACCCCCGAGGGGGTACGGTCGAAGACAAAGAGGGCGGGTATCGAGGGTTTGGGGTATACGCGTTGCGTGGCACACGATCGAATAACGACAAACAGTCTTAAAATTATTGAGCTCTCATTTCTGAGGAATAATCTGACCGGTGCATGCTGCTTTTCCTTAATCAAAGTGTGCCCCTCGACGCTCGCACCCTGCTCTTTGACAGGGAAAGTCTTCGTGCCCAAACTGTGCCTCTGGCCCCCCGGCTTGCAACAACAACGGCTCCCGCCTGAGACGTCTTCCAAATTTACTCAGGACCCCCGCTCCCGCCTAAGACTTCCTCGCAATGTACTCAAGATCGGTACTACCGCTTGTGACTTCCTCACAATTTGATCAGGACCCCCGCTCCCATCTGAGACTTCCTCACAATTTACTCAGGAACGGCGCTCCCGCTTGAGATTTCCTTGCAATTGAATCACAACTTCTTCGCAATTTAAACAAGAGCCCCGCTCCCGCCAGAGAGCCCCTCACATTTTGTTCAAGAATTGCGCTCTCGCCTGTGACCTCCATGCAATTTGTTCAGACATCGCGCTTTCGACGCTCAGGGAACACGCTGCGCCAAGGACGCCGTCACAATTTACTTGGGAATCGCGCCCTCGCCATACTTAGGCATCCCGGTTGAATGTCCCACCCGCCCGACCCGCCCGTCAGGGGATCGCCCGCCCGTCGTGGGCTCCCGCCCGAGACTTCGTCCCTACCCCTCCCTTCCTCTCACGCGCCCTCGTTCTCCCCCTCTTTTTTTTTGCAGGGCCCACACCACTTCCAATGGCGGGCACATGTACGCCCACGAAGGATTGTCCGCCCGTTCCAGTTTGCCCGCCTGTCTAAGCCCGCCGCCCCCCGCAAAGAGAAAGAATCCCCCCAAAGGGAGTGTGATCGAAGACAAAAACGGCGAGTATCGAGGGTGTGGGGAACTCGTTTTGAATGACACACGGGCAGGTAAGAGCGAACAGTTTTATAATGATTGTGGTTGTTGTTGTTGTTGTTGTTGTTGTTGTTGTTGTTGTTGTTGTTGATGCTGTGGTTGTGGTTGTGGTTGTGGTTGAAATTGCTGTTTTCTCTCCTCTGTCTTTCCTTTCGCAAAGTGGGCCCCAAGAGGTCTCGACCATCCCTGGGACATGCCTTTCGTCCCGAATCGTTTTTTGACGGTCCCAGGGCCGGATGAGGGCCCCCAGAGGGCGACAGCTGCCAAAACCCGTCCGTCATGATTTTCTTCACGACGCGAGGCGTCTGGGTTTTTCTCCTTCTGATCCTCCGCTCGGATCCAGCCGCAGCACCCGCGCGGCGCCGCTGGGCGGGCAGTACAGCTTGCCGTCCAGCCCAGAGACGCCAGTGCGCCACAGGCCACGCCCGCGCCCGCAGTCCGGGCCGATCAGCTCCACGGCGCTGGTGAGCGTGTCGACTCGCAGCACGCGGGCCGCGTGCCAGGGCACGGCGTAGACCGCGCCTTAGACGATAGAGGAACATACAATGACATAAAAGTGAAACTTTCGGTCGTGTGCGCGGATGTCTGGGATTGGCGCCAGAGCCCCCTGGCGGCGCCTCTGGCGCCGCCCCTTGCGCGCTCCGCGCGCCTGGGAGGGGGGTCCAGCGCCGATCCACGAACTCCGGGCAGCTCTCCGACGGCTTCTGTTATGGTTTTTCATGTTTCCCCCCCGGTAAGACGAGGTCAGGACAGGGACAAAGCGTACAGGGATGCGTCGGGAATCTCTGAGGTCCAGCAGATCTGGAGGACGCATCGGGCGCCGCGCCCTCCTCAGAGCGTTCCAGACCGAGGGCTCTGAGAGCGCTCTGACACGCTCCGGGACGCTTCGTCCCTGTCCTGGCCCCGCCCGCACGCCGTCTGCGCAGAGCGTGCAGAAGCGCCACTTGTCCGGGTCCGGGCCGAAATCGGGGCCCACCAGGGCGGCGGTGCCGGCCTCGGGCTCGATCCGCAGCACCCTGCCGGCGCACCACGGGATGCAGTAGATGCAGCCGTCCCGCCCGGCAAAGGCCGAGCGGTACTTGCGGCCCGAGGGCCCCAGGTCTGGCCCGACCTCGTCGACCTCGACGGGGGGGCCCTTCGTCGAGTCGATGCGCAGCACGCGCGAGGCGTTCCACGGCGGGCAGTAGATCACCCCGTCCCCGGCTCGGGCTGCCGCCCTCCACTTGCCGTGCGCAGCGCCGAGGTCTGGGCCGATCGGCTCGGCGAAGAAGACCTTGTCCAGCTTCGGCCGCCCGGATCCCCGCCGCCGAGTGGCGCCCAGCCGCCCGGTGGAGCCAGGGCTGGCTGGAGAGCCGGCCTGGGCGGGGGGGAGGGGGGCTCCTCCTCCCAAGCATGCTCGCGCCGTGAACGAAAATCTCCACAAGGCGTTCTTGGCCGCTGGCGGCCTCCGGGGGCTCTCGCCGGGTCCTGGGACCCGGCGACTCGGGATGAACAACCGGCCGTGGGGAACGGGCCCTCTTGGACCGTCTTGGGGCTATCTTAGGCCATCTTGGAACGGTCTGGGACGGTCTTGGGGTCTCTACGAGCGCTCTTGGGCCGTCTTGGAGCCGTCTTGGACCTCTCTTGGGCTGTCCCGGGGGTACCTTGGGCCGTCCTGGACGCCTCTTGGGCCGTCTTGGGGGCTTGGGGGGAGGGGAAGGCCTTTAGACATATGTCCTCTCTACTCCCCCCTCCCCTGGACCCCTCCCTTGAGGACTTCGCCCCAACTCAACGTCACCACTCGTGCCTCGCTTCTTCCGTCACCTGCTTGGCACGGGGATGGACAGCGAATGTGTGCGCGAGGTCGCAGGCTTAGTATCTTGGAGCCCTGCTGGTGCTAAAGTTTAGTACGATATACAAGAATTTGGACGCCCGAAATGGGTACGGAAAACTGGGTACAATGCCAAACAACAAGCGTTGTCCAAAACCAGCAGCGACCGCTGTTGGGCAGGGGGCCTTCTGTCTCAAATGGACACAGGCCGAGGCGCCGCGGACAGCGAGTCCTGTTCAAAGCGAACAGGAACTGCTGTTGGGCATTGTACCCATTATTTCCGTACCCACCTCTTTTGTGCTGAAAGGATCTAGCGAAACACCCGGCGAACATCAATGAACTCTGCATGCCCGGGTCTTCCAGGTGGTCCTTTTGGGGCTCTTTTGGGCCGCCGTGTGGCCCTCTCTGGCCCTCCTGGACCCTCTTGGGCCGTATTGGGGAGCTTGGCCCGTCTTGGTGCCCTCTCGGGGCCCTCTTGGGACCTCCTGTGGCCCTCTTGGGGCTCTCTTGGGAACCTCTTGGGGCTTTCAGGGGCCTCTCTCGGGGTTTCTTGGTGCTCTCTTGGGCCCCCCAAGACGGCCCAAGAGGGCTCCAGGACGCCCGAGATGGCCTCCAAGACGGCCCTGAAGCGCCCCAGGAGGACCCCAAGTGTGTTCAGAGAGGCATCCAAGACGGCTTCCGACGGCGTCAGACGAGCCAGGAACGCCGCAGGACAGTCAAAGAGGCCTCCCAAGAAGCCCTAAAAGGCCCCCAAGAGGCCCAAGGAGGCCCCCGAGAGACCTCCCACTGGCCCCAAGAAGCTAGGAGGCCCCAGGATTGGCCCCAGAGGCTCCCAAGAGTCCTCCTCTTCCTTCTCAAATTTTTCTCCTGTTTCCTACCTCTCCCTCTCCTCCTCCTCCTCCGCCTCTGCCTCCGCTTCCGCCTCCTCCTCTTTCTTCTCCTCCTCCTCCTCCTCCTCCGCCTCCGCCTCCGCCTCCGCCTCCGCCTCCTCCTTCTCCTCTTCCTTCTCCTCCTCCT